AGCGAATCTTATGCTAGTGCGTGCTAGCGCGTGCTAGCGCGGATATTTGTTGGGTATCCAACATCCGCAATTTGCGGACTTGGATGTGGTGACCACATCCAAGTCGTACGATTGGCCATGCTGACTTCGAAGCGCCGAGTAGGTTGTCTGTCGATCCTAAATATGTAGCCTGCGCCACCAAAACTAATTTTGGTTTAGTTATGGGACATTGGGCCCTCGTAGTCCTAGACGCTGAAAGCGTGCTGATTGGCAAGAAACAGAGCTGGACAGCCTACCATTTTATCGCTTTCGATCCTTGCCAAGTCAAGGCGCATACGCTACAAGATATTCGTTGGATACCATTAAGTCTATGCATTTTGCGGCACAGCGAATGATCCATGCAAATGAGAAAAGCAGGCGAGGCTGATTAGACTACTTCGCATACGCTGCCAGCAGGAAGTGTCGTGCCTGTTTCCTTTAAAGCGGCGCCAGTCCATCCGTCTCTCCCTCTTTTTTTGCTTGTTCTAATTTGAAAGGTCTATGTACTCTTGATTATTGCGTATGCTTCAAATTGCTCGTTGAGACGCAACGATGGTGTACGACATTGAGAATATGAAGAGGCGGTATGACCAGGCATGTGCTATCGAAGATAGCAAGGACAAGATTGTCGAGGTCCAGTGACTACACCGACATTCCTAAGTATCTGGCTTTTGACTGACATGTTTGCTGTAAAGGACCTTTTTTCTCACATTGAAACCCTTTACTGCGAAATGCGAAAACAGAGAGATGATATCGACGATAAAAAGAGACTTATTGCGTCATTCAAGGCAGAGAACAAGAAGTACGAAAATGATATTGACAATATGTGCCATGACCAGGTGGGTTGTTCACTTGTGATCTTGACCAACTCAGGGTGATCCTGCCTATACTAATGGGCCCAGGCTAAATTGAGCTTCGTTACTGTGTTAGTTGATGGAGATGGCATGAACGTAGGTCACTCCAAAATGATAAACCTATGCCAGGCATGCTTTACTAATTCCGCCTGTCCAGTTTCCTGAGAAATTCATACAAGGTGGCCACAATGGTGGCCACGAGGCTGCGCGGCTTCTCATCCAAGCTGTTGAAGCCCATATTCAAAAGATTGATCTCAAAGCAAGCCCAACTACCCGGTGTAGGATCCTTGTGTATGCCAACGTGGAAGGCCTGGCGAAGGCTTATCGTGACGCAAACGTGCTTCGTGCCGATGAGACCTTGACGTCGTTCATTCAAGGTTTCAATAAGGAGGACGCAATGTGCGACTTTACGGATGCAGGAAAAGGAAAAGAATGCACAGATTTCAAATTACGAGGTGAGATCCTGGTAGCATGGCTTTTTTTCTTTTATCTATCGTCAGATATGCCTCGAGTGGTGGATGTTCACGGGGCTAACCCTTACGTTTTCAGCGCATTTCGAGCAGGATATTTTGAACGTTCACTGCCAACGGATCATCTTCTGTGCTTCGGCTGACAATGGTTACGCTCGTGTTCTCGGTCCACACCGAGGGTCGGAACGGATCTCACTGGTTAGGGGACCACCATTTGCCAGTGAGATGAAGGAATTAGCGGAGAGTTTTGTATCTACTTCATTTGAAGAAGTATTCATGTCGGCCAAACTGAGGACAGCCAGGAAAGTGTCTCCCTGTTCCACAAATACAGTCATCACACCTCCAAGAACACCCACCCCAAACTATGCATCAGCAGCCAAAGCAGCGCCTCTACTACAACCATCACCAACGGTAGTTCCTGCTGCAATGGGACCGACAAAACCAGGTTTATCAATATGTGTAAACGCCAGAGGCCAGCGGGTTGACCGTCACGTGCGATACTCTTCCAGGGACAACGTCGACGAGCTGAAAGGCAGAAAATTATGCAACCGGTTTCATCTCGTTGGGTCATGCACTTATGGTGATGACTGTACGCACAAACATGGCCCATCACTCAGTCCTCGCGAGCTAACTGATCTGACACATATTGCGAGACTATCTATTTGCCCGAATGGCCTCTTTTGTAGGGAAGTGAATTGCACCTGCGGGCACCGCTGCCCGCGGGAGAATTGCTCAGGTTATGGCTGCAGGTTCCCTGACAGCATGCACGGTGTTGATACAAATATTGTTAGCATGATTTAATTGCTATCTGGTCATTCATTTCTTGCACATTTGTATTTAGTTGATATTTGATAGCCTTGATGCTGCCCTCATTGTTCGTGGAATACTTCATTTCATCAATAACGTATGTTAGGATCAGATGGCATCGGGAAGGATGGCGACATCGTTATATTCTTGTTTTAAAACATTTTATCTGTATTTCTCTTATTTTCTGATGCAACGAAGCTCGAGCAAGATGGTGGGATAGCGAGAGCCGGCGTGAACCGGGAGGCCTGGGATCGGAGCGTTCTCCGGGGGCAGCACCGAAACAAATTCGTGTGCGGGATCCAGCCATCGCCGCTGAAACATCATCAGGCTCGAAACCGACGGGTGGCGCTGGATGGTCTGGATATTGGAGCGCAGAGAAGCAAGAATTTGTCCGCGGCCATCTCTGCCTTCCTAAGCATGAAGTCTTTGATGCGGAGGCCACCGCGGCGTTTGAAGGGCTAAAGGTCGCCTCGAACAGCATCCAGGCCCCTTTCACACAGCACCCATACGTCTTCCTTGATTACCAGGAAGTGGCACGCCAGCTACAGGAACTCCGCAGAGCCTCCAGCCAGCACACCACCCTGGCCTTCCAAGAAGCTGCAAATGCCTGGCCCAGCCGGCCCACGCGGTCCCTGGCAATTCCACCCAGACAGGTGCACGTTTGTTGAATCCCTGTTCATGCCGGCATTGCAGGAACGAGCAGACAGATGAGCAAGCAAAGAAAGGAGCTAGGTCTAACCCACAGGCCAACCCACGGGCCGTGAAGAGATGCCCAAAGCCCGCCCACGGACGGGTATGGGCATGCTCACGATCGGTGGTCCATGGGCCTGGCGAGGTCAAGCGCGGCGTCTCACCCCAGAAACGGTGCCACTCGACCTGTAACCTGCCTGTAGGCCCAGCTTGCGCAAGGCTTCTCTGAAGTGACCCGTGACCTGTGTACTGTATAAATTCCCCGACGGACCCTCTTGCGGGACTTCCGTCTTACTAAACAAACCGGATAACTAACTAACTTACGGACATCCGGTAGAGATGGTTTGTTTGCCTGCTCGGCTGCTTTCACTCCCGGGCCTTTCGCTTGGGAACACGCATGAGCCAGTACAGACCAACTGCAGAAGCGACGTTGAAGATGCAGAATACCCACATAAACCCGAAATCGCGCCACCTATTGTCGAAGTTGAAGTCCATATCAGACAGAAAGGAGTTGGTGTTGGCCATGCCACAGAAACTGCAGCTGCTGGTGCTGTTGTTGAGAAGATACCCTCCATTCTCCGCGATGTATTGTTCGACGTACTCTCCACAAGTCATTCCGCTTGGTGCCTCAAATTGGACGAATTCGCTGGCCTTGCAGGTAACAGGGGCATTGGCGAGAGATGTGCCGACGAAGCTTTCCATTACGTAGGTGAAAGGGTTGACGCGATACATAAATATCCAGAACCCTGGAAGTTCATCAGGTCTGGCAAGAACACTGACATGACACTGTTAGGACATTCCGAACGAAGAATGGATCAGCCTGAGTGGTACATACCCCGCAAAAGCGAACATGATGTTGAAGAAGAAATTCAGGAATCCACCGGCGACTTGCTCCGTCTCAATGCCAGCAATGAGCATGTTAGCAAATGTACTGGTGAAAGCGAAGAATATCCAGAGGTGTAGACAAGTAGTGATGCCACGCGAATGGACAGCATCCGTCCACTCTGCATTACGATAGAGACCCATAGGAAAGTAATAGAAAAGGAAAGAGCAAATCGCCATAAGCTAGCACCATAGTCAGCGTAATCATAGCAAGGTGCCCTAGGGGTTGAGTCTCACCGAGTTCCACGCCAACTCAACGATGATATTTCCAGCAAGAAAGGCGACCCACGAGTAAGCTTTAGCGGGTCTCTCCCGGGCCTCGTAAAGGGTGCGCTGAGAGACGAACATAGGCAGGATTTGTTCGACGACCTGACTGAAAATAAAAAGGAAGATGTATGCCGCTAACATCTGATTGAATAGACCACGCTGTGTGACTTCTCCATTGACCTGTGACAGCCCGATGAACAAGGCCTGTGCAGATTGTGAGTCGTGAGACATTCTGCGGGGAGAGGAGTGGTACGTACCGAGCCAGCGCTCAGAACAGTCTTGGAGAAGATATAACTTGGGGTTCTCCAGTATTGCTGAAAGACACGCTTCGTAACCAGGGCTAGCTGAGTAAGAAAGCTCGCAGCAAATTCTACCAAGGCTGCAGGATCGGGATCCGCAGACCCGCCTTCGCCCTGACGAGACAGCTGGTCAAGCTCGCGACGTACATCCTGATATTCGGGACTTGCGCGCCAAACAGTCGGCCAGTCGATGTTGCTCCCATGCTTTGAAGTGGCTCCAACGACCTCGAGCATGTATTCCGCCGGGTTCGTCCCGGGCCTGAAATGCGGAGCTCCGTTACGGACGAAGTAGTCAATGAGTGTTGATGACTCGTTACCCACCTCCCCAAAGTACACCGTGCGTCCACCCTTTGCCAGCAGAAGCAAGCGGTCGAATCGCTGAAAAAGTGCCGCTGATGGCTGGTGGATCGTACAGAGAATTGCTTGGCCATTCCTCGTCAACTTCTCCATCAGGTCGCAGATGGCCCAGGATGTCTGGCTATCGAGACCAGAAGTTGGTTCATCGAGGAATAGCAAGAGTTCTGGACGCGCTGCCAACTCAACACCTATAGTTAAGCGTTTCCTTTGTTCGACATTCAAACCCTCGCCTGTACATCCGACAACAGCATCTGCACAGTCATCGAGGTTGACCAACCTGATCACGTCGTTCACGTAATCGAGCTTCTCCTGGCGGCTATACCGAGCTGGCTGCCGCAGCAGCGCGCTGAATTGTAGGGCTTCCCGCACTGTTGATGTGTGAAGATTCAAATCTTGCTGAGTAACGTATCCGGTCTTGCGTTGAAAAGAAGAGTCTCGAGACTGGCCATCAACCAGCATTCGTCCTGAAATGACGCCCATTGTTACGCGACTAGCCAAGACGTCCAGAAGTGTCGTCTTTCCAGCCCCCGAGACTCCCTAAAGATGTTAGGGTAATCAACTCAACTCCAAGGGGAAAAAGCTTACCATTAATGCCGTCAACGTGCCTGGTTTCACCCACCCATCCACATGATCCAGAATTTTCCGAGTCTCTTTTTTTATCTGAATGGTGTAGCAAACGTCTTGCCAATTGAATATCGACGTTTGTTTCTCGATGCCCTGAACCTCATTCTTTTGAATGTGTCGCTCTTGGGACTTGGCTCCCGGCACAGAACGTATCTTCTCCTCATCATCGTTGCCCTTGTAATATTTCTTGAGCACCTGGCGGGGGAAGACGAGAATCTCACCCTTCGAGCGCTCCGGTGAGATCAATTCCACCGCTATCAAGTGGACCACAAGGAAAAAGATGGTGAGACCAATGAGAATGCCGAAGTTTCGCCAACGGTGACCGTTGGCAAATCCGTACACCACGCGCAGATGTGCGCTGCCGTCAACGAAACCCTCGCCGGCATTAGACCCCTCAACGGAACAAACCTGGCCCAAAGGTGGAATCGAATCTGCCGAGTAGCCGGGGCCACTGGGCACAAATTCTACGCAGGGAAACCTACGCCCAACAAACTCACTGAGTGAAAGGCTCTCCTGCACGTAAAACAAAGGGTTTATCCACCGTAGCCAGCCAATCCAGTCATCCAGGTAGGCTTGGGGAATGATGAAGCCGCCGTATAACATAAGAGCGAGGATGACGATCGCACATGGTGCGAGAGCTTGGGAGACGGTTTTCGTAACTGAAGCAAGGAACCGGAAGAACATAGACATAGTAATTGTGACGGTAAAAGCAAGCAGGTAGAAGAAGAAGAAGGGTCCAAGCTCACGACGAAGATTGCACATAAAATAGAGAGTAACGTTGATAAAAAGCGCGTTGACGAGTTTAAACGGGATATCCATCGCAATAGATGCCAAAGATTCCATACTGGGATGGTAAAGTGCGTACCGAGCGTGTTTTTCGACGATCTTTCTCTTGGAGTAGAGAGTTAGGACCTCTAGGGCTGCAGTCCAGACATTGATCATGAGGGTATAGAAGATCAGAAGGTTTCGACGAAAGATGCTGGAGCTGTCTAGGGGCATGTTGTAAAAGATACTGGCAACGACAAGAGATTCGAAGAAATTAGCCAGGAGTAAGGTTATCCAAAACCAAGGATCGGCGATCAAGAGTCTGTAGCTCCTCCAGAGATTCAAGAGAAACTGGCCGGCCAAAGAAAGCGTGAATGGAGAGGTAGCGCGCAGTGACTTGGATTTCTGTGCTGTCCTTGAAACATGGAATTGCTCGGATTGACTCCCGTTGATGGGAAATCGTGTCTCGAATGATTTAATCTCGTTAATGAGGGATTGACGGTGTTGGCTTTCGCGCCATGCACGTGCGAATTCCTCTGGGCTGCGAGGAGGTGTTTTGCCTTCCCAGTCAGCCTTAACAATTCTCTCAGAAGGGCTTGTCATAGAGGTCAAAAAATCAGGCGTGGTCTGCTGCGCTGGGCACTCAAAACCTAAGCCTTCAAAATATGCCTTGGCTTCTGAAGTCTTGCCGAAGAAAATCTGTCGACCTTGGTAAAGGACAATGACTTTGTCAAATAGCTAGAATTAGAAGTCAGCACTATTTAGCACCGACACGATATAAAAGTGTCTGTTCCGGTTTGACTCACATCATACGCCTCCTGTGGAGCTTGATAGATGGCTACACATACACTGCTGCCAAAGGTCTCCGACTGAAGCCGTAGTGTGCGACAAAACGAGACCGCGTTGGCCGAATCCAGACCTCGGGTACTATTATCCCAGCATTGCCACGGTGAATAGCTAAGGATAGCTTCCGCAATGCTCACACGCTTGCGCTCACCACCACTGACGCCCCGGATGAAGTCGTCTCCAACAAGAGTATTCTTGGTGTGCGAAATACCCAGCATTGCCATGACCACGTCATGGAGGTGTTCTGCATATTCGTGTTTATAGTCCGCCAATTTTTGCGGGCATCGAGCTCGAGCAGCAAAATAAAGCGTCTCACCAACGGTGAGTTTGGGGAAGTGGTAGTCAACTTCAGCGGTATAGATAGCTTCCCCCTTAAAGGCCTTTTCGATGTCTGTTTTCCCGAGGCCTTGATAGTTCAATGTACTGCTATCGGCGACCTGGAAGCCGTACGTTTCACCGGCAATAGTCTTCAGAAGAGTAGAACACCCAGATCCTGGAGGACCCAGGACGCAGAGCATCTCACCACTCTCCATGACACCTTCTAGATTTTGCAAAATATCCACGCGTTGTCGCTTCGTCGACCCGAAAAGACGGCGGATGATATCCAAGGGGCCGTATACGAAGTCTTCAACGGTCTTTTGGTGTTCCGCTACGGCCTTTTGGCCGAAGACGTTGAGGTCTTTGAAAGCGAGGCCTGCTGAGTTGGGTGGCCTTCCGTTGAGTGCTGCCGTTTGATTATTATAGAAGGTCCTCAACCACTTCTTGGTATCAAAGTCGCGGCTATTGGGGTCGAGCACGTCGTCCGTAGGCTTAGGTAGGATGTGTCCGCCCCCTGCAACCGACATTGAGGTGACACGTCGGGCAAGTTCATTGATTTGATCATCCACTTGCCCTACGACTTTGGATTCACCGTCGGTGCTCTCCATATAGGAATGGTTTTCAGGTAGGCGGGAAACACCGTGTACAAGTTCCTGACCGGGTACAGTTGGGGGCCGCATTCTGGTGGCTGTGAATGATATGGCCAGCCAAGGGAGATGTGAGCGGTTGATGACTGGTAGCCACAAAAGAAAAGGGAAAAAAAAAACCCTAACAAGGCAAATTATAATAACACAAGACGCCGCTTCCGCAATCCCACAGTGTAGGAAGAGCAGGGCTTTTAAAAATCGGCGCTTGAATCGTGAACTGGAGGCGATGGTATTAAGGAGGGAGGTGCAGGCCCCACTGGATTTTCTGGCTTCTTTTATAGACATGTGTCGGCCTACAACAGATAATTTTTTTCAGGGAGACCCTGCAATGCGCAGGTCATTGTTCGCACTTCCGGAATCACGGACTTTCCGCCCTGCAAGGGCGTTCGGAGAGTGCGAAGCTCCGGCATCAGAGGTGATATACAAGTCTCCTATTTGCCGTGGGTATTCAACGGCATCGTCCTAGATAATGGTAGACCCTGTAGCTTACAGCAAATCAATTTGTTGGAAGAAGACAACTATTATCCGACCTACAGCTTGGATGCTATGGACCGGGAATGGACGACGGGTCACTGGTAGCTAGCTCTACAGTTGACTTGAGTTCCTGTACAGAGGTTCAGCTCGAAGGCAACCTCCGCGCAACTACAATACAAAACCAATGATGGTAACATTTGTTCATTTTAACCCTTCTGGAGCGATTCATAACACCCTTGGGCCGCTCGTTCGGACATAGCGAGCCTCCGAAAGATGCCGAAGAGGATGGAACGAGACAGGCGTTGGATTGTGGCCTAGACTTCTGCATTCATTCTTAGTACTTGGCAGAATCCCTAAAAACTGAATGTCGTCCTGCTTTTGGCAAAGATAAGGATTTACCTCTGCGAAACCTAGGTTTTTCTGGGAATAAAGGTCTTAAAACACGTCAAGCCAGGTCGACCTATAGAATCTAGTCGTCTGTTGTTGCTTTTGTAGATGTTTGGACTCTTAGCCTCCTTGTGCGGGACATCCCTTGGCATGTTACTTGTAATATACAATCCTCCGCCGTCATTTTGCTTTCTCGTCAATCCTTCTATTTCACCTTTCTGTTGGGGTTGGCACTGGTCGCAGATATTTTTTTGTGCGGCACCCCGGAGTTTCGAAACGCCCCAAGCTCCGTTACGACTCATCATGATAGTAAACGGCCTTGCTGTAAGCAGCCCTTCCTGTTTCTCCATCTTTGCCCTCGGGGGCCACGACACCTGGACTGTAGCGGTATACACTAGGGTGTTTGAATGGCTGCTGACTATGACCATGTCGTTTCAAGTGCACAAGTTGTCGGCAGAAGAAGGTACGCGTTTCTCTGATAAATTAGGCGATGTCGCGGACTATGGTCATTAATTGTAAACTAGATCCGATGCAGCCGTTCAGCACCAGTCTGCCAGCAATGTAAAAGCAATAATATTGTTTGCCATTACCCCCAGAGACAAAGCAGAAGACGACGCAACGAAGCGTTTGTCGATCCTCCGTATGATCTTACCGCGCCTAGCTAGACCCTGTTTAGACTCATGCTAATCTATTATGATCTATAATGGCTGCTAGGGCCGGCAATGGGGCCCTGGATATGGTCCTTGAACGGTTACAACGTGTCGAGGAACAATTAACTGCAAATAGTTTTCCCGCGAGTTCTTCCCCCTCACGACGAGCCCGCGAGGTGGCAGCGACACCTACCACCGAAGCATCTGGGCCTTCTTTGAGTTCAAAGGCCTGCGAAACATGGGTTCCTTCTACGGTCGGATCCTCGTGTATCGCGGACCCTGTACCAATGAGTAGTGATAACCCAAGCTTGCCCAGTCTGCAACCGAATTCGGCCAGCCCAATACTTGTGGCCCCTGGGAATCTCGACGTGGGTTCTATTCTAAGCGAAGCTGTTGCCCGAATTCAGGAACTCAAGGGATTTCATAATACGAACATGGACGTCTTCGTAACGGAAGGGATTTCGATCCCACCAGGACTGGCGAGAACATGGATACACAGTGAGTGACAATATTGAGTCCAGATGCATGATACACACGGGGCCATGCTGGAATATCTGTGACTTGTGGCTCACTGCAGAGTCAGATTACTTTACCTACATGCCCGCCGAGTTATTCTTAAGCCTGGTGGATAGAAAGCTCATTGAAATGATCCCGGACTTGCTCCACATGCGACATATCAAACTGGATGCCTGCATGCTCCTTGTTTACTACGCCATCCTTTACCACGGCTGTTTTCTCCCTGGGAAGAGATCTTACGGTAGCCCTGACAAAAAATACGCCAGACAGTTGTATATATGCTGCCTACGTACAATACACATTTGGCAAAGGGAGGCGACCGGAACTGTGACGGATTTTATTGCTGCTATCTACATGGTATGATGAGAATCCTTTGGCATTTCTAGAGGAAGGTTAAGGGAGCATCTAACTGAGTACCTGCACAGACACGGACTTCAGCCGAATGCTTTGATTTTGATTTGAGTTGGGAAATGCATAAATTGGCATGTGAATATGCGCAAGGCTTGCAGATGCACAGCTTAGATGACAAGCATAATCTCTTGACAGTCGGCTCCGCTAATCCAGATGACGACCGCAAAGGCATGTGGGAGTTGATCCAGATGGATCTGTTCTATCGCCTTATTTACAACAAACCTGCCGCATTCTCTTTAGATCTCGCTGGCTGGCGAGTGAATCTACCTTGGCTTACACTTGACACTTTTCCAGACAAGGAAGCAGCGGTTCCTACAATGAAATTTATAGTGAGCAGCCGACTGACCTTTGTTCTCATCGCGTTCTTTCAGATGTTTGATAAACTAGAAACCGGTTCGGTAGCGTTGGAAGCGATCGAACCCCTTTGCCAGGAAATTGAAGATTTGATGGAGGAATGGGGAATTGTCTGTCCTACCTTACAATCCTTTCTTTCGATCCTTCCGTACGTACCGGCTGACATTAGTTTAGGAAGATTGGATCCGAAGTTTCAGACACGACGAAGTCTACACGTGGATACTTACTGACCTTGCCCTCACGGGATACACCTGCATTATTTTCATGCTCCGTAAAGTAACTCTCGGCTCTGATTCGCCGAAGTCTTTATCGTTGGATGCAAACATTCCCCAGACGGACCTGGCAAGGAAGGCATCGCGTCAAATTCTCGGCCTCATCCATTACATGCTGCATGGGGCTAACCTACCCAAGCCGGAGGCTCTGTCCTCTATTCTTGGTACCCATCGGGCTTACGTAGCGTATGCCTACTTGGCTACCAGTGTCATTGATTCTCCAACGCCTGGTACGATGGCTGAAGATATGGAGCTGCTAGAGCGTGTTACTCGGAGTGTTGAGATGGTCGCTCTGGAAGAGAATGATTTCGTGCCTTTCGCGCGAGCATTGAAGTACGTGAACGCAGGAGCTGGTGGTATGCATTCATAATTGTACAGCTAGGTATGGTAGACTTCTATCGGAGTTCTAGCATGAAGAAGGAGAGAGAAAGGCGGAGCCTTCCTCAACGAAGCCATTTAGTCCGCCGCCAAATATATCAACATGAAGACGTCGACCAGGTTAGGTTGCACGAGGAGTAGATCCGTTGCCTATTTTTCGGGTGTTCTTTGCCTGGCGGCAGAAATCGCAGGTGGGCAGAAGCTTCTTGCCCTGAATATTGATTCGACCGATCCGGTGGAGATACTGGAGGTCATGCTGATTCATATGTGATAGGCGATGATGCCAATGCTCAATAGGCGCTGGTGGGGGCCTCTTTGGTGTCAAATTACATGATGTATTCTCGGCTGATTCTTTGGCGTCATTTACTGCGTACGCTACACTCCCCTCTTCCTCTAAATGGTTAAACATGCCATCCTCTACCGTTCAGGAAATAAAGAATGTAGCGACGTCAGGGCTGGTAATTCGGAATATATATGGTTTATCATTGGTGAGTTGAATGAGGAATCCTTGATTTTCTAGCTGATTGAATGATAGCAGGCGAGTACTCAAAGCGGGCACATATCGGACGTTTTTCAGCCCTACCATATGCTCTCCTATTGGTAGATGAATAGTCCCAATACCTTCTACCTGACAGCAGCGAACACAAAGTATTCCGACTGTGGTTTGGACGGTCAACGGCATGTAATTGGCAAACGCTGATCGGTAATCAGAGATTGTCTAGGTAGCTCTAGTGTCTAATACCTAATCGCGCGTGCTGGTGGTTGATCGAACTAGGTTGGCAAAGCCATCTGGTTTCCTTCGTAGTCTGATTCGAGTTGCAGCATGTTGAATTAAGGTTGTTGGGTGACTTGGGTCTCGGTTGTCGTTTCTCCGGATGAAGGGTCCAACAGTCATCCAGTGAATGATAGCCTCGCTTGCAGTGAGAACACAGAGATGATTGCCTGGCGGGTGATGATCTGCCAGAAGTGGTAGTGCCGGAGAGGTTTATTGGAATAGTTCCCCCTTGTGTGGTCCACGATTAGCTAGACCAGAAGTGGGATGAATGGGGTTCCAATATCCTGTCGATAGATGGTGTATGAGAGCTGACGGTAGGTGTGTGGTGGAGGTGGTGTACGGCTCTCAATTTGATCGATATATCATCCATGTCTATCTCATGAAAGCGACCGCGTTTGGAGCTGGGAAAGAGACTATCTAACTGAGTACAAATGAATGAGCGTTGAAAGTCACCCAGAAAGATGATGCCTATGTCATGACACGGCTCTGAGAAATAATACTTTTTCCGCTCTATCTCAGTGGTTAAACGCTGCCATTGTCTCATCATCGCGACAGCATTGCCGTTCGGTCTCAAATTCATGAGCATTTTAACGAGAAGTAGGCGTTCTTCCGCGAGAGAGACGCCATAAACGGTATCTAAATGCGATAGGATCTCGCTCGGGTGTTGGGTATGGTCCGTATGGGCTTGTTGAAGGATGTCAAGGGTCAAACGGTCTAAAATCCGGGTATGCAGTAGCCGCTTGGGCGTGGTATAGCGAGCTAACTGCAGTGAAATGTCTTTAGGGATGTCGTTGGGGCGAAGTAAGATATTTCGGGCATCTATAGTCAGCATCAAACAGAAGGTTCTTTCTCTATTCAGAGTAGTTTTCCCGGCCCTGCAGGCGTCGGGTATCTCGCCAGTGAGTTTTTGCAAGCATGGAGTTTCCATTCTTCGTCTCGGATTTCCTGCTTTTCTCGTTGAATTCGTTGCTCTTCTAGTTGAATTCTCTTTTCTTCATGCTCAATCGCTAATCGATTATCTGATCGTTCAAACAGTTCCGATAGTCGCTCAATGAGTTAACTATCACCTCCGGACGATGTACGCTTAGGCTGTCTAGCCTAGCGGAAAGTATCAACTTCATTACGAAGTGTACGAATGATTTCATCTCGATTATCTGTGGTTCCGAGCGGCGAGTGAGTGTGTTTTCCAACTGGGTATCAGCCGGCTGGGCGGCTCCTTTGGCGCTCATATAGGCTAGTTCTTGGGGTTGAGATTGTGGTTGGCCCCCCCCCCCCCTTGGCCGGGTGGTGTGCCGGGAACTTGTCACACTCCACGTTGCCGAACTTGATTAGGGGTTTCTTAATGTCTTTTTTCAGTGAACCGTCGCCCTTTTTGTCGTAGCCATTTGTGAACCAGTAGGGGTAACTGCTGCCGATACGGCCGTCGGAGAGAGGTGCAGAGTGAAGATTGCTCTCTGCACTGGCTTGTTTGTAGCTAAGGATTTTTCCGCTACTCTTGCACTTCCAGGTCTAAATGGAAAAAGGTCAGGTAACTGGCAAATGTGGCATAGGAAATGTACAGAGCATACTGCTTCTCACTCAACCAGTGGGTAGGCTAGAGCAGATGTGACCGCAAGAGCGAGCACAACGAGACTGTTCTTGAACAGTACCATAGTGAGAGTACTAGTAACTAGTAGAGTGTTAGTTTAGTTAGATCGAACTCGAATTCACCGTTTAATGTTGTTTAATGAGAGAGTGAGAGGGTCAATGAGACTGTTATAGACCCCCTGGAAGCAGCCTAAGCATGCATTTGCGACAGACTACCTGGGATGCAAAACAGCCTTAGATCCTTGAGGATTGAAAAAGACGTGATTTTGGCTCCCTTATGTAGATGGCGTAGTGAGAGCATGATCACCGCTGCCCCGAAACAACGGCGAACGGGCTGAAGAGAAACCCCGCTCGCAAAATCAACCTTGCCTAACTATACATAAATAGTTAACTAGTTAACGTTATACATTTTTAAAAAATTTAGGGTCTTTTTCATCCATAGACTTTCACAGAGATTTAGTATCTCACCATGGATCTTCCACTGTACCTCAATGATGATGATCCCTGGATCATTGAACAGAAAATATTCGACCTTTTGCAGGTTACAGGTCGGGTGGCATCGTTCTAGAGGTGCGGTGCCGCGCTAGTAAGTCACATGACTCATTTAGCGGCTTCCGGCACTTACAATACCATGTTTTAATTACCCGGCATCTGAGTTTTACAGATTCCTGACCATTAGATATCATTATCTATTTGCTGTAGTTTTGCTCGCCGTTCCATAAGTTCCAACTCTTTTTCTTCATTTAGAAGTTGTTTTGCCTGGTTTTGGAGCTGTTTCTCTCGTATTTCTTCCTCTTTATCCTTCAATTGAAGCTCAAACTCACGGAGCTCTAAAGCTTGCCGTTGTTGCTCAATATTCAATATATTCTGCGAGGAGATCCGACGAAGGCTTTGTGAAGTGGATGAGGCAGAACTAGTTTGTAACTGGTTAGTAACTGGTTATCGATTGATTAGAAAATGCGTACCCTGAAACCCGTGATTGGGATCGAAATCTTTGAGGTTGTGGTTCTTGTTGAGAGTCCATTGATAAATGAGCTGAGGATGAGCGACGACGCTTTTGAGATTCTAGGCAATTTCCAAGTCATTAGCAAAGATTGCCATCATAAATGGTGGATATATATATATATTACCTTCCCGTGCCATGTGTCGTAAATAATTAACTTCCATATTTGCTGTTCGATATGAATGGTGAATCCCAAAGCGAGTCCGATTTATATATTGAAGAACATCATGTTTATCAAGTTTTGCAGAACTAGAAATCATTAGCAACCACTCAAGATGTAGTCTTCAACTGGTTGTAAACTAGTTCTCAACTACTTACTTTTGGATTGCTGCTACTAATGTCAATCGCTTTCCTGCTGCATTAGCCTTGTGATGAGATTGTTCAGCTGAATTAGTATGATTCCGAATTGAATCATAGATAGAGGCAGGAATATTAGAGCAGCTTTTATTAAGGCCAGCTTTAATAATTGGTTGCCTCTTATGCTCTGCCCAAGCCTGTACCTTTGGCTCTTCATGAACTAAGGCAGTTAGTGACTGGTTGTTAACTGGTTTGAAACCAGTTGGGGAATACTTACTGATCAATAAATCACACAACTGATCATAATCATCTTCAGACTTGCAGTCAATCAGAGCTGCCATTCGATTCCATATTCCTGACCCTCTATTATTATTCCCCACTGCTTCAGTGATAGTTCGAAAAAAATGAACACGGCAAAAAATAATTATTCCCTTTAATTGCCAGAGTATCGGTCGGCGGAGAGGATCAATTTCTTGAAGGAAGCGCCCAAGGCCTACGCAGTTAGTGAGTACTTTGCAAATGCTTTGTAACTAGTTACCTAGTTACTTACCAGTATACTGTTTAGTATCCATGTCCACAACAATACCATATATTCCAGTGGAATGTATAGAACTAAACTTAATAGCATCTCCAGTGACCTTTTGAATAAGAGAGAATACTCTCTTAAACAGGAGATAATAGCCCTCAGTTGTTTCCTGATTTGTGAAAACTCGGAAAAGGGTGATGACTATTACAACTAGTAAGTAACTAGTTAGCTAGTAATTGATTATTGGATACCTACTTTTTCCATGTTCATGAAGATAAGTTGCAAATACAACTTCATTTATCTCTTTTTCTCGAATTCGTTTGTATGACATGTCAACTTCAAAAGAAGATAATTGACTCAAGAGCTGGATTTGCTCTTTAAAAGCACACAGAATCATTATACCCTCACTATCAAAATACTTCTCTTGAATGTATTCCTATAATGAGTTAGTAACTAGTTTACAACTGGTTCGCAAGCACTTACCCTGATAAATGGATTTGTATTATATATATACAAGACCCCATTGTAGCCCTGACCAGCTGGGTATGACAGCAGTCGTTGTTTCTGTATGATAGCAGAGATGCGATCTAGATTTGAAAAAGATGTGTGTATTTCCGCAGGTGTAGAGGCATTATACTGAGAACAAAAAGCCTCTAGTTCTGGACTTCGCAGAAATTGAGCTATTAACTGGTTAGTAACCAGTTTAATGGTGGTTAAGAATCATTTAACATATACCTCGAGTTAGGCTTGGGTTTCTCATCTGCCTAATTATGTTCTGAACCCCTCTTAGAATAAGCTCTGGTGGCTTATGTGGAGGAGGAGGAGGATGTTTATGGATTCCCTGAGATGTGAAGACAACATAAGGACAATCTTGAGGATCAACTGGTACCAGTGCAGTAAAAGTGACATCACATTTGAGATGTTCTAATCTGCCAGGTCCTTGAATATGGTCAAAATCTAAGTATTTCATAAGTACTACGCAAGCAGTTTCCAAACAGTTAAAAGACCACATACCACAATACTTTCGACGAGATGTTAGTGGCTCAATAACAGCGCACTCTTCCTGAGATGGCAGGATCGAATCATTGAACAACTGCTCTAGGAAGTCAATATCAATTGAAGTATGGCCTTTAACCGAGCTGTAATGATGTTTTTGAAGAAAGTCTGCTGTTCCATGTACACATCCAATATATGGATGGTATT